TACTAATGTCTCAGACTATAAAGCTGGATGATGCTGGTTTGAACGCCACAGAAGTTGCCAGTCCCCTTAAAGATTCTGGCACATATAATGACGAGTGCTAACTAGGATGAGACCTAAGCCAAGGTTATCCTACCAACTGACTTCAACCATTAAAAACACAATAGAGCGAAAATAGGTGCATGTATCGTTGCATCAAAACCTATTGACACTGATAATTTCAAAATTCCAGTTTTAAGACTAAGTTATGGTTATTCTTAGATAGAATACCATTTTTCCAAAGGATATTAGCATTTTCTATCCAGGATTTCAAACTAATTCACACTTAATGGTACTGAAAAATATTACTGAATCAGTTGTTATGGGATTGAAAATTTCAGAGATAAATTATGCATATCACTTTTGCAGAATACTAGTTTCATCAATATATTACCTGTCTATTTTTAATTATTAATGTTTTCCTCCTTTGGCCGCAATAAATGATAAATCTTAAGACTACAGAATCTATGCAATAGTAAAATGGTAAACAGAAACACAGAGAAACTCACATGTCTGTACTAATAAATATGTCTATCTAGTATTTAGTCAGTTTAAAAATTTGTTTTGGTCTTTCATATGAAAGTCTATATACAAAACTGATACTTCGATTAAACCATTTGTGAGCTATTGTCTGAATTGTGGCTAATAGTGAAATTTATTTTAGATGAATATTATTGGTCTATGGTAAACATAAATGAAAACAACAGTATTGTCAGTGTACTAATATCGATATATCGAAAAGGTTGAACCTATCCACACAAACCCTCCGTATATGACATAAGATTCTCATGGAGTTTTTGCAGAATACTTTTTATTCGAACTTTACTAATACTGAAATAGAAATGAACCATTGTTTTCTAACCTATACTTGAATTGAAAACAGCTCCCTAACTAATCAAAGATTCGTGCATTTAATAAGATTAAGACCCTTGTATAATTAATGATGAAATGTTCGGCTATCTGAATGGAATCAGATCTATGAAGTTATTGAAACTTAAGCACAATATTTAAAGTGCTCAATCCACTGAATCAGATCGAAATGAACAAACGGAACATCATTTTAATAAACGAACTGAATAAAACCATTTTACTCAGGAAAAATCTAAAATAAGGTTTGGAACGATAGATCAAATCATTCGTTTACATTACTAAGTTATACATCGTCAATGATTTATTCAATGAAGCATAAATACCTGTATTTAAATTATCCCTAAATAAAAGATCGAGTTTGCCCTCATTAAGTTATTTATTTTAACCATTTATATTCAAGAACAAACCTTAAAAAACAACAACCAAAAGTACATGATAGTTTTGGACGGAAGTTAAGGTTTATCGTTATGAAAATAACTGTACATTGTATACATAATGTAAAATAATTCTAATATCTTTGAAACTAATATAAGGTTAAACAGTTAACAAGAAATTTCACCATATATATATTACAATAAGTTATTCGGAATCAATATTATCACTTAACTTTGTCATTATGGATTATAACTTTACCAGTGCTTCTGTTAACATTTTTTTTTCTAAAATCAGATAGTAATATACTTCTATGTCAAACTCAGATAATATTAAAGTTTCACTAACTAAATACCTATTTACATTTTCATTTAAAATCTATAGTTTAACTGATACACAGAACTAATAATTGAAAATATTAAACTTAAGAAGACAGTTCAATAAGTAAAGCTAATGTTATATTAGTACTCAAATAAGTACATATTACTATTGCTACTGTTGGTCTAGCTTCGACTGACTCATGATCTTAACCATTGAAATTACTACAATCTCCACAAAAACCCATCTGATATTAATCAGAAATATGCTCACTAGTGACTGGCTTCACGAGGTATATCCTGGAGTTCTAGTGAGAAGTAGTGAACAGTGGAGTTCAACCGGGTCTGTTGTGAGATAGTAACTCACTGAAGACAATGGTGAATGTGTCGCTCAATTTCGTGGATTAGTTGAAGTTAGACATTAACACCGTTGGATGCCGGATCAGTGGTCTAGTGGTTAAGTGCTCGGGCGCGAAACCAGTAGGTCCTGGGTTCGAATCTCGCAGGGGGCGAGGTCGTGGATGCGCACTGCTGAGGAGTCCCACAATAGAACGAAACATCCGTCCAGTGCTTCCAGGTTTTCCATGGTGGTCTAGCTTCAACTAACTCATGATCTTAACCATTGAAATTACTACAATCTCCACAAAAACCCATCTGATATTAAACAAATATAAATGCTAAGATTACTACTAGTAGAACTATAACAAATGAGTGACATTTTGACTACATTTTTTTAAAAAAAAGAAACGTATTATAAATTAAGTCATAATTCTAATATTGATATTTCAAAGTTCAATATACATTGGATTGAACTGAATAAAATACAATATTTCTTATTATTATTTTTCTTTCTAACTTGTAACTACATTCACACATTAAAGATAGTTGGTGATTTTTTACTAATGATTTTCGTCAATTGTCCAAAAGTCTAACAATAACAAGAATATATATATACATATATATACATATATAATATGCACGTGAATATGTATGCTAATTTACAGAAGAAAAATAAGCATTTAGCATTTATGATATTCAAAACTTAAAGAGGATAAATCAGAAAAAAAAGTTTTTATGTAACTATCAATGGTTACAATTGTCAATAAGGGAGTTTGTAGAGATTGTAGTATTTTTAATAGTTGAATTTATGAGTCGATTAAAGCTTGAACACTATGGAAAACCTGGAAGCAGTGGACAGTTGTTTCGTCTTAGTAAGGAACAACGGTATCAGTTTTACTAAGAGATAACTAAAAAGTATACACCAATGTATTTGTAGATCATTAATTCTTTTTATTCACGTGAATAAATAAAAAAGAAATTCATGTCTGTATTATGCAATGAGTTATGATTATCTAAGTCTGTTCAGTAGGAAATAAATGACATGATAATCGAGCATCTGTATAAGCATAAAAAGCTTTACAATGAAAAGAAATTAGGTATACTAAGAAAGAATGAAAGTCATTAACAAAATTAATTTCGATAGAAACATTAATTAATGAATGAAATTCAATCATTTTATTTGAGCTACTTAATTTCTAGAAAACAATCCCATCTACAAGGTTTCATGTAGTGATGCTTTATTTTCGTACAGTTTTTCTACCGATATTTATAAAACACTGTCACTTCAGTTAAAAAAAACATTTGGACATAAGATACTTCAGTGTACAAGTACTCTGTGCATCTTTAATAAATTCTTAATAAACGATAATGATTTCATCAAGTTTACCATAATAATGCACTATAGATTATTTTCGAAGAACATTTGTTCATAAATGTATATTCAGAAAAAATTGGTCGGAATTTATCACCCACAGAAAAACGGAAAAATAATAATGGTTTGATCACATTCGACATTTAACTAACCTTTATTATAATGATGACAATAAAATTATCTATGTCAGTAAGCAAAAATCGTAAAAGTTAGATTAAATGTGATATATTGTACATGACCGGATCAAATCTTAAAAATCAACTATTAAGTTAGGTTCACTTGGTATTATTTACTTGAATCTTCCCATTGATGTTGATGTATACTGTGCGTGTTGCAAGTATGCCAATAAGAGACTGATCAATTGCAATCCTAAACATCAATGGGAAGAATCAAATAAACAATACCAAGTGAATTCAAACCTCACTCCATTGAATGATTGAGTGGCTATCAGGACTCAGTAGCTAAGTGGATAACGCGATGGAGTTTGAAGCGAATGGTACTGGGTTCAAGTTCCTGAGTGAACATAAACTCTGAGATGCAGGTACACCCAGCTGACGAGTCGAAACGTGCATCCTGGATTCCAATGTTAGCCACTATTCATCTTGGCTTAGAAACTAGTAAGTTAGTTATATATTGGTTTATAATAACAGATATATGTAGTGCATAAGCATACTTCAAAATAAAATTAGCTAGTCTGAATCGATTAGCATGTTACAAACTATCTAAATATTTACAATTCATGTACAGATACAAGTTAAAAATAAATATGCAAGTAACATTCAACCTGATCGATAGATGTGCATAATTATATTTCTACATTGTGGACGAGAGGACAACAGTGACTATAATTTTATGTTTAATGTGTGACATGAATATGTAAATAAACTATTAATATGAACATAAAAATACATGTGTGTATTGCCACACATAAGTGTTCATTACATTACTATAACTAAACTGGAATATGAATTGCATTCGCGAAATGAAAAATGACTCCTCGAAACAGAACTAAAAATAATTTTAATTTAGCTATAAGAAATGAACAATTCATTGGTTTACATTCCTAACAACAATCAAATATGAAAATTACCCAATCTTTCAATCCCATTAGTGAGTAGCTATCTCATACTCAACATATTTGGACTCTATTAGTTACAGCTCCTCATTAGAACTCTGGGAAGTGACTGGAGTTGGGAATGTAAGCCGGTGAACGACTACTCAGTGGTCTAAACGCTCTCGCAAGACCTGGACATCCTGGGTTCGATCCCCAGTTGGATCGTTGATGTAAACTACTGACGAATTCCATACTAGAATGAAATAGGTATTCAGCGCTTCCTGGTTCCTAATGATTGCCTAACTGAAGCCAGTTCGTATTATCTCCACAAACCCAAATACCAATAACACAGTATTGGTGCAATATGAGCAATACAGTGTTTATCGATGAATGACTGTATTTGTCTTATGATCTAGCCTGTCGTAAAATACAGTATCATAAGGTATTTGCCAGTGATTTTCAGTTTGAAAAGGATGACGAGTACTTTTTATTTCAGCTTAAACAACAATAGTTGAAGCAAAAAAAGTAAATATTTCCATTTACTCATTGCAAGTACGTACTAAACTGTCACCAGTCGATATATATATATATATATATATATATATATATATCAAACGAAACGAGCAATAGCTGAACTCACTGTATTTGGATTCGCCTGATCAACGCTAAAAAGAAAAACATCGAAATGTTTAGCTGAAAGAAAAAAAGTAGCAATAAACTAACAGGCAGTATGAAAACTATTATTAAACTATACTAGCCATCACCCAACTTGCTCAATAAAACGCTGATGACCTAATGGCGATATTAAAGTAATTCTCTTAGGCTACCTAATGCCAAAGGGGATCGATCGATTTCAGCCTTTATTGTCAGCAACAGGAAGAATCAAATTTCATTTACAAATTATAAATCACAGTCTTTTTACATGTCAGTAGTTATGTAGAATCGACATCTTATTGAACATTTCGTTGGGTGGTTGAAGCGGTAAGTACTGGTTTTGAACCTCACAGTGGAGACCAACACTAGGATGGAGAAGCACCCAACTGGCGAGTCCAAAATCGGACAAAGCGTGCGTACTGAAATCCACTATCAAGCACTATTTAGCTCTGTTTAAAAATACTTATGCGTGGTATTGTTTAAAAATTAGTAGTCGTGGTGAGAATTTCCAGCTTCTTTCATTGTGTTTAGTCCTACTCAACTTTATCTGTTGAAATAGAAAGTGGAGCAGAGATATAGATGAATAGCAAAAATAAGAGAAATCTTGATAATCGAGTTTCCAATTATTATTTCAATGAAATAATTTTTAAGGGAATATCATGAACCAGATGTGAGCCCTAATAGACTCTACAAAATATATTAATCAACATAACCTTAATTATCATTCAGTAGTAAGCAACATAGAATCTGCACATATGAACATCAATTTAAGTTTCCTTAGTACGCTAACACAACGAGATAAACTTATCAAGACAAATCCGCGATTAGTAGAGGTAGTTACAGTATCAGTAGTAATAAGAAAAATTAGGCCTAAACAATCCCATTGAGGAGAAAAATTTATTTTATGGATCAAAAAGTATAAGCTAATTTTGGAACTCAATATCTGAGGTAAAACAAAGAGGGATTACATTTGAGCCATTATGATCAGTTATGAGTTACGTCGCCCAATGTATTCAAACATTGGATACGATAATGACACTGATCACAACCAAGTAATCTGGAATTATCAATACGATCCAGTTCAACAGTCAATGATTTCATGGGTTGATGTCACGTTCTGATTTAGCCACTACAAAACATCGACAGTCAAGGTAAAGGATGAGTTTCAGTATGTTATATATGAATTTATAAATGATAACGAGGCTGTAATAAATTTAAAACGTACATATCACTTGGTTTTAACTCGGATGAAGTTGACATTGGTTTAATAGTTTCAGATGCTTTTCTTAATTTATTCACTGTTTGAATTAGATCACCATAGTTCTGAGTTGACTTTTCTTTTTCATTTGTAGATGATGATAATTGTTCAGACGATGGTATATTACGATTATCAGGGTTGTTTGTTAATGTTTTCAATGTTTCATTTAATTCATTGTTCAATGTTTCATATTGTTCACTAGTCAATAACTGACCACCTGAATTTAAAGTATCTTTTAAATTTGATAGTTTTTCCATTTGTTCATTATTTAATTCTGTTTGAATTGATGATTCGTATAATTTGGGTAGATTTATATCTGATGTTAACTCAGTGTTAGATGGATTTTGTACAATATGTTTTTTTAATTGACTTATTTCTTGATCACGTTCATCTAAAAGTGCCTGAAATGTATGAATTGTTTGTTGAAGAAGTATATCATCTACTTTAGGTTGTGCTCCTGTTGTTTTTAATGGAGGTGGTTGTGATTGAGAAACAGTAACCGGTTTGGTATCGTCCATTGAGTGAAGTACAGCAGTCTGAACATTTATGATCATTAATAAAAGATAGTAAAATTAAACCGATTTTCATAAAAAGGTGTGGTTATCAGAATTTATAACTGGTTAACAATAGTTTACAAGGAAACTGGTGAAAGTAAAGTACTACTAAGTAATCCTACACTGTCTACAGAATAAACTCGAGTGGATATTGTCTATTAGCGTTTACAATTTCACTAAACAATTTACTTTCATTCAAATAAAAAAAATTAAGCTTAATTTAGGATTCTTTCTTACGCGTTTTAACTGGGAGACACTAACAAATTATAACTCAATGGTCAGATAAGGGCGACATAGAACTAACAAGTCATTTCTTCATTGTTATTGTCAAGTAAAAAATAAAACAGTTTTTCAGGTAATCTGACCAGATCTAATTCAATATTTCTCATTGTTATTAAAGGTGCACTACAAATAAAGCGTATGTTATTACAATTATTGAACTAATGCTGACATATTTTATAATGATAACTTAATAATGGTAAATATTTAGGTTATATATCGTATGTTAAGTATTACGTAAACAATTAAATCATGTTTCATTGATTAGTATAAAATGATCACACGCAAAAATAAAGCAGTATGAAAACTCACTGTATTTTGCTCAGAATGATCTATTTCGAATGATACAGATTCAGTAGATGGATGACAGCTATTTTTTCCTATAAGGTCTTGTACACGGGATTCTAATTTTTCTGAATACAATCTTGATGAATTCAATTTTTCTTCTAAATCTTTGACACGTTCTAACTGTTCAGCTAATTGAGCCTTATAAGAAATAGAAATATAATGATAAAATGAATTAGGGTTAAAAACTTATCTGAAAAATAGAACTCACAAATAAAGTACACCGTCAAATAATGAATAGGAAAATAATGTGACCTGGAACTAGGCGATATCTTTATTTGTATACACTCGTTTACAAGTATACACCTATGTATATTGTAAGGAAAGCTTAACACACCTTTATAACAGCGAATAAATAATCAGTAACTTGCATAAAGGGATCTGTATGGATTTTCACGTTAGTCAATATCAACCGTGACGAAATATGAACATATATATATAGCCATTTATATTTTAAGTAGATCACACTTGGAAAAAGATTGATTGACGTGAGTTGTGTGTAAAATGACTTCGTGACAAGATATTTTAAGTGAATGCCAAATGTGTGATAAGAACATGGCTTAAATATGTATGTGATTAACATTTTGAACTGATCTTAGTTACACAACTATTGAAAGCCAGAAAGCACTGAAGGTGTTTCGAACCAGAAGGGGACCCAACAAGAGTGGGCATCTATGACTCCTCAACCCAAAGTCGAACACGGGACCTACAGTCTCGAATTAAACCTCAATATCAGTAAGTCAGTATCTAATAGTTTGCATGTTTAACTACAATCGATTCGTAATATTGAACAATCATTCAACGATGTAAACCAAATAACATGAATTTATTTTATTTCAAAATCAAAATTTCCATTGTAATTTGACAAATATATAGAAGTCAAATAGGTTAGAACTTGGTACAAAAGCACATCAGTATGATGCATTACACATGGAAACAAAGCTGAAAAGCTTGGATAGAACTTAGCAAACATGTTTAAGGTTTCAAAATGTACTAGAACTATAACTGATATTGTAGCAAAAGATCACAAGACTGAACTTAAGTGGTTATATAAAAACAAATTAAATGAATTCAGGTTATCCAAATTACATGGTTGTCCGTGGTCTTCTCATAATTATAGCGTTAGAAAACATAATATTAGGGAGAGAAATATTTGATTTTCATAGTCACTTATCCTAGCGTAGTTTGGCACATTTTACTCCCTCAGTCTCATGAAAATGACCAAACTAACACTGCAATTTGTAGATAATGCAAACCGCATAGTACTTGGAGAATCAAAGCGTTACATTTAATGTGCGATAAAAGGAATACAGTATCTTGGTGTAAACTGTTAATCAGGCTATTTCAGTCCCACTTGGTATCCTAAAACACGACGACTACATTCCACCTTTAAAATCCAAAGAATTTTAGTAAGACAAGTACAAGTCTGTACCTACAACCACTCATTAGAAATAATCGTAAGGTTTTCGCGTCTGGGAGGTTGTGCGAGCACTAACAGTGTTGTTGCAGGTGACAACAAACTGTAGCGTGAGGTAGAAAAATCAAAAACAACGAATTATCTTTGACTCCATGATATTAGTTTTAAAAGGCGTTGCTGGATGTAGATTAGCTCCACAATCATGAAACATAGCCTCTTGAAGCTAAAGATGTAAGGTGACCCGATATAAATGACTTAAAATGCTTTGAACCAGCAGTTAACAGCTAACCAGCAAACAGTAGAGAACAGTCAACAAAACACGAAGGTGATCAGCGTATTCAACTTCCATCTTAGTAAGAATTATCATCCACTTGTGGAATCTGGCTTACTAATGCTATCACATTACACAACCTTAGCAGTTGAGAAATTCAACCATATTATAATACCACACATGTGAAATACAACACAAAAATATTAAAATCAACTGACTCAACCACTTAATCAAAGTGTAATTCACATATCCGAAACAATATTGAGATAACATCAGTTAGGGATGGATCCATGGTTATCAGGAAGGAAAACAAAAGCTAGTTTGTCATTACATCATAACTGTTAAGGTGTGAGAAACGAAGTGTAAGTAGACACATTCTCTATATTTTTTGGATGGAATTGAACACAGAGAGAGAGAGAGAACTTTCCAAGTTTGACAACACCATTTAGAGATTATTCACTTCATGTGTTGCGATGCGAACTGTCATATGAAACAGTTGGATTTACTCATGATCAAATGGTAGAGTGGGCTCTTGAATATTTCACATCCAACTGTATATCTATGTGTGCAAAAGCATTTCCTTTTGTTTGATATTTATCATGGTTTTCATGTGAATACTCAAGGATATCTTTTGGCTCGCTCACAAACGTCTAGTTACATTGTGGTTTTGAGAATGAATGAGAAATATATATCGATAGCTTTAAATCAATGGATTTCAGTTGTAACCGAAAATCACATTGAAACAACAGATATAAGCGAATATTACTGCTCTTAATTAGATTCTCATCAGGCTTTACTGTAATATGCACTGACTCATAATACGCTTTCACTGGTTTAATAGTTTTGAATGTGCGTCAATATTATTGTATATTAGAGTAGAGCATTTTGAGGATCTAATTGAAAACAATGTTGTTTTAAACCACAATATGGAAACTTCGAATATTTCAAAATTAAATTGTTGTCTATTAATATAGTCAGATGTACAGGAAAGATATAGGTGTATTTCATTTCTTTTAATTAGTACATGAATTGATGACAAGTAGTAATGAGACAATGTAGTCATTACTCATGGCAATCGACCAAGTATACATATAGTGAACTGACTGCGAAATAAATTTTTTATCTTATGCTTCTGTTAAAATATGTTGTAACTTGTCTAAACAATGTATGATTCAAGTTAAAACGGAAGTATATATATTATTCACTTATTTTGTTATAACCTATTTACTGAAGCACAATATGAATACGTTTTAGCGTTTTGTTTTTTGATTTCAGCAAGTTACGTTTTTTTTTCATATGTGTTGCTAATGTACTACAGATGAAGTAGCTACAAATTATAATTTCTTGACAAAATCAACATCTCGTATTTTAGGTCATTTGAATCAATTAACTTTGGTAATCATTTCAGAATCATGTACCAATTTTAAAGATGTACCTTATTGACTGAGATGTTCGCTTAGGTGAAACGTCATTCAAAATTTATACAACAGTAAATATGATTTCAGACATTAATAAGCAAAGTAATAATAAGTCGAATTGGCGTCTTTCATAATATTATGAGAAAATGAAACGTTTTCTAAGCAGTGGTTTCCGATCCAAGTGTTTTTTTTTTAAAAAGTAAACTTTAATCTCATTTCATCTTCAAATAGTCATTAGTGCCTTAGCGTTCTACAATCAAGTATATGTAATTTTAAAATTATATTATTCCGCTAAAGAACACGTTATTCGGTTATATTTTTTGGTTTTAAACAATGTTGATATGTGAGAAAATAAGAAGCATAAACCATACAAATAAATTCAAGTAACTAGGTAATATCTTTTCTAATATTATATATTAATCCGATAATGATTGAATAGTCCGTTAAATCAAAAAACTTGTTCAGTATTATGTTTTCTGAAACAAGTGACATTTTATTAACCTATTTGTATGTTTTATTGAGTATTTAAATTGTTGCAATCTTAAACACTAATGAGAAGATTCAAATAACCAGTACAAAGATGAATTAAAAGTTAACATTTATTTATACTCATTATTTGACTAATATAACTAACATATCAAGTATATCGATGGAGTTTGTAAGACCATTGCTGTAATTCGTTTTCATTTTAATCACTGTATTCTATTTCATTTCTTATTTCGATTTAACAACTTTGAACTCATGATTTAATAGACAATCACTTATATAGTGTTCACTTTTATTAAGTCGAAATCGGCATCCAATAACAAACCTAATTTCCTCACGAAGACTTGTTTTGACGAAAGTTCATGGTTATTTCTGAAAAATTAGTAAATTAGCCTACATTACACTTATGTGGGAACCAATGTTCTTTGATAATGAAAACCACAGAGAACTTTTACGGTTAACAGAGTGAAGTAATAAATACATGTATTTGAGGAAATGTTCATATCACTGGTCACTATTTTCACTGCTTAATTACAAATCAGCTACCTACCTATTTACATCTAATTGAAAGAACCTGGGATCAAGCGAATTGCTATGGCCTGGTCTTTTCTACACAAGGCTTGACAGAATTAGTAGACTCAAGGGTGACCATATGCATATACACTCAGCATTGTGCTCCCAATGTTCTTAACCCTAACCTCAACTACTGAGTTAAAAAACCCAGCCTGTAAAGAGTATATGTAAATATTTTTGGGGAAATTTTATTCTCAGGGATTATTAATTACATTGAAATAATTATAAAACAAATCAACAATCAATGTCACCTATAACATTAAACGGAAATTTAAGATTATATTCATTTGTTTTTCCGTATGACTAGAAGAAGCAATACCTCCAATCTGTACTGTTCAAAAATAATATCTAGTTCATTAGAAGGGCAATATGGCTTCTTGAAAGGTAAAACGCTTTGGCAGAAAACCTTTAGATACTAACGGATCTCTTGCTCAAAAAATTCTCCGTTTCGTACAAAAACTAACACCGCCTATCTCACATTGAAAATAGGTATTGAATGAATCACGACAGCTATAGTTAATTAAGATAGCAAAGTAATTAATTTTTACATTTTAAACTATGCATATATATACTCTCGCCGTAACCATAACTACTACCTATCACACACTCATCAAAAGAATAGGAATACACCCATATCTTTCCTATACATCTAATTATATCGATGGGCAACAATATGATTTTAGGCTACCGATATGTATTTCTCATTCATTCTCAAAACCACAATGTAACTAGACGTTTGTGAGCGAGCCAAAAGATATCCTTGAGTATTCACATGAAAACCATGATAAACATCAAACAAAAGGAAGTGCTTTTGCACACATAGATATACAGTTGGATGAGAAATATTCAAGAGCCCACTCTACCATTTGATCATGAGTAAATCCAACTGTTTCATATGACAGTTCGCATCGCAACACATGAAGTGAATAATCTGTAAATGGTGTTGTCAAACTTGGAAAGTTCTCTCTCTCTCTCTCTCTGTTCAATTCCATCCAAACAATATAGAGAATGTGTCTACTTACACTTCGTTTCCCACACCTTAACAGTTATGATGTAATGACAAACTAACTTTTGTTTTCCTTCTTGATAACCATGGATCCATCCCTAACTGATGTTATCTCAATATTGTTTCGGATATGTCAATTACACTTGGATTAAGTGGTTGAGTCAGTTGATTTTAATATTTTTGTGTTGTATTTCACATGTGTGGTATTATAATATGGTTGAATTTCTCAACTACTAAGGTTGTGTAATGTGATAGCATTAGTAAGCGAGATTCCACAAGTGGATGATAATTCTTACTAAGATGAAAGTTGAATACGCTGATCACCTTCGTGTTTTGTTGACTGTTCTCTACTGTTTGCTGGTTAGCTGTTAACTGCTGGTTCATTTATTTGCCAACCGTTTAAATGTATGTGTATTTCATTACGGTTTTAAGTGTTGTTTTAAATCGTAGTTTGTTTATAAATAAATCTTTCATCGTTCATTACATATTAAGTTACTTTTTAGTCTTGTCCCACTGAATAATTATTAAATAGCTGTTATTCGCCAGCTAAAACCAACGGTCGTCTCAGTAGCTATAATCAGCGATTTCGCAAGACTATGCCACTTTATGAATCGTCTGACACTAGGCAAAACAAATAAGACAGTATGGTCAGTGTTGCTGAGGTTGAAAACTACTTACTAGTTGTCAAATACAAGCATTTAGGTGTACACACACGATTATACTTTATTATAATCATTCTCATCAACAGTATTGTGCACGAAACAAAATTACCAGATAAGAAATTGATTTTGATACCTATGTATATAATTAGGAATCAACAACATATGGAACAACTAGACTAATTGATTTCAGCTTTCGGACAGAAGAAATTTGTATTAGGTTTCCATCATTTTTCATTACTCCCATGATAGTTTGATGTATTAACGCACACAAATCTGACAATTTAAGTTAAATCACTAAAAATTGTCAGATACAGATAGTTGTAAACAACTGTCTACACAAGATACGTAATGATCGTTGGCCGGATAGCATCAGCAGCAGCCTACTGTGCGAGTGGACAAACTAACTTCCACATGAAGAGAAAACTAGGAAAATAATCCGAAGGTAGATAGAAACTCATTTATGAAATCATCAAACTGTACCACGAGGCAAGCTCTAACTTGGAATCTTCAAGTTTAAAGAGAAAAAAACAAACCGTAGAACACATTATATTAGGAATTGGAAGCAGACATCAAAAGAATGAATAGCACTTAGGAATAACTAGAAAGAAGAGTCCCGGAGAGAGTGCGTTCGACATCGGTGGCATATGCTTCATGAAATGTAACAGGCGTAAGTAAAAAAGTTTTCATAAACACATTACTCTTTAAAAAATTCTATCTGTCAACTGGATTATGAATTACTTTCCTTCAAGTTAATTAAACTGAACTACGTTATTATCAGATCAAAGCAGTAAGTTTTACTATCACGTAAGCTTTAATCTTTAAGATTTATGCAAAAGCCTGAGTAATTGTTAACAGATAAAACCACTCTCATCCTTTAAATCTGCATGAATAAATGAATGTTCGATGGGGTAATCCCAAAAGTAGATAATGTATATAAAATTTTCTTTTGATAGACGAAATATCGATACCACAAAGTACTATGCAACTAGTGTTACTATCATTATCGTGGATACGAAATATATGGATATGAAATATATCACTTTTACATAACGGTTATAAATGTTACACATGATTTATACTTCATAAGTGACATCAAAAGTGTTGTGCAGATAAGACCACACAGTCTTAAAATAGTGGTTTTCCAAGTAAACATGATAAAAACCCGATGAGGATTTTTTCCTTATTAAGTTACGATCTACGTATAAGAGATGAAATACTTTCAATTTGAAAATAGAATAATTAACCATACACAAAAAGTAAAGTTTTCAAAAGTAATAAATTAAAAAAAAACTAACTTTAAGTAGTTTAACATCAGCAGCTATCGGTTTATCACTTTCAGCTAGTGAATTTTCAGCATCATCAACATGAGATAATTGATCACGTAATTCAATATTATCACGGCGTAATTCTTTAATTAAATTATCCATATGAATGTGTTTAGCAACAGCAGCTGCTGTTTCAGCTTTTTGATTGGATAAATCGCTTCTCAGTAGACTTAATTGTTCTTTTAATTGACATATCAACTGATGGCTATCGGAACTTTCCTAGATTAGAATAAAAGTGTGATAAGTAAAATGTTACATTTGATAGGCTTTTAATTTTTCTTAATTACTAATTAACTTACAAATAGTGTTTAGAGTTGAATAAATAAATGTAAACGTAGAAAACGACTATAAGCCGTGAGTGTTTATTTATATCACATAGAAATCTCGATTAGAATCTTTTAAATTAGCTTTCATAAATTAAGTATTTAGTCGATTAATTGATGAACTCCACTACTTCATAGAATCAAATATCCCTAAATGATTTGTTGGTTGACCGACAAGGAAAAAAATAACAGAAGAAAAGTAGGTTTTACTCAAGCAATGTAGATCGAAAAAATTCTGACTGTCAGTATTGGTTGGAGAAAATATCTAAGAAAACAGTTTATTGTAGACAGGTTTATTAACTAATGAAATTGAATATTCATTCAGTTTCACGGTAATTTACCTGAGCGCTCAACCAAAAACTGAACAGCTTTTAGTTTTCAGAAGAAAGAACTAACTTATTGTCTTTCAATTCAAGATGGATGGTAAGATTCTTCTTCATTCTTAGCGATGATAATAGTTTGAACAAGGTGTATGCTTCCTATAAAATAGATGTTACTGAAATATATGACTAAATTTTGAAAGCTTTTCGAAGACCATAATAAAACTAGAACGCCGACTACAACAACTTTTAAAAAACGAATTTCTGAAGAAAAACGAGTGTGTATGATAATAGAATGACAATTTAGCACTAAAATATTAGGATACGGTTAATTTCTAATAGAAATAAAAACGGTAGGATCTTTGCAAATTTCTAAATCATTAAGTATACAGTAGACTTGTTATGAACTGGTAATGGAAAAGAAAAACATTCAAAGGGTGATAGCTTAACTCTCGAAGACTTCTTCAAAGTATAATTTATCTTAGGTGTATGAAGACAGTGGTTATTAAACATTCCATATGAAACGCCTCATAGGAGATATCAGATTCGTAATGATAAACGCTATAACTACACGAAAAAAGACAGTATAGGAATATTTTCCTACAAAAATTATTTTTGCATAATAATCAATCATAATAGTTTTTGGAAGTAGTGACCAGAATCAAAATATTTTAGTAAAACAACTTTCACAAAAAAGGAGTTGTGATTAGCCGTTTCCTTTCACTTTGTTGCAGTTTATAACGCTTTGAGTCTTTAGGTTAACATGTTCCTTCTCACTGAATTTAATAGGAGCTTATTGTTTAATAATCTCTCAATAGTTACTCTTAATCTGACTGCAGTTAGAAATGTAAACCACCGGAAGCCAGCTCAGTGGCCTAATGTTAAAAGATCATTGAGAGACTTGGATACGCTCAATACTACGACGAAACAAATGGCCAATGCTTCCCGGTTTTCGGTGATTGTTTAATTATGGTCAGTCTGTGATGTAAACAACAAAGTGTTCCAGAAACGTTTGATTTTTTCTATTAAGAACTGCATTAATAGCTCATCGTTTTCTCAGAGTACGCTGCCACTAACAACAAAGCAATGTGAAACTACTGAACGTTCAAGAATTCTAAGATGTACATTTTGAAATAAACTAGCAGTATAAACATTTGCAAGGAATATTGATTAAGTAGGGATGTGTATTTATTCCACCCTTAATTTGTGGTTATTATAGTAAATTTCTATTGATTTTTATGAACTTTATCTTTATTATTATAGACTATAGAATGAAAACCTCGCCTTTTTGATCAATATCGCTACGTTTAATACTTTATTTTTAAGCTTACGTTTGTACATACTTAAAGGGTGCGTTACAATTCACTTTTAAAAAGTCAAGAACTCCAGATTAACATTTTACTTATTACTTGTACTATGATAAAACTAAAAAGTTAATCATGTAGTGTAATATGGATTAGCATCATTTATAATCACATGTTACCCTCGAGTCCTATATTTCTCTATTTAACCTGGGATTGAATGTAAACAAATAAATTACGGTAACTAACCTCGGTTTGAGTTCCCTCATGTAAAGTTGGGGGAATTTTTCTCAATTCTTCCTCAATCTGTAGAAAGAAACAAAGACTAAAGTAACAATAAGCAAATACGGAGGTCACATATGAATGGATACCATTAGAAAAATATATAACTGAATATATAAAGATAAGAAGGCTTAACATACCATAGCTTTCTGATTCTCAACTTCGACAATTTGGAAATCCAGTAATTCCAGTTGTTCTTTCATTTCTACTTTGGTTACCTCCAATCTTTCAATTTTCTTTGCTGATTCAAATAACTAGTATTAAATAATTAATATAGTTGTACAAACATTTACTAACCTGGTTTAGTAATTTCTTGTTTTGACGAATCAAATACCTTCTTTCCTCAGCTTCTCGAGGATCCTTTCAAAAGGGAACATGAGAGAAAAATAAAGAACATAAGTTTCTTTTAACTATTTACAAGAAAATTAATATTAAAATAATATCACAGAAAAATATGTTGAAAGTGTTGCACTTTACGTGAAAAATTCCCTACACCTATAATGTCGTGAATAGGGTCAATAAGAAAACATTAGAATGATCGATAAAATTTGGCTAAAGATATTCGATTATCTGAATCGAAAAGACATTAATTGCATTAAAACCAATGGATGTCATCTGAATAAAGACATGTCAAAAAATTGAAATAGATCAAGATGTGAAGAATAATTACCAACATCATGAATAGAGAACTACATGGGCAAATAACAAATTCTATGCAAAACACCTGCAAATTAACTCACTGTATGAATAATCTCAGGTCAAATCTCAACTGAACTCTAGTTAATGTGATTGACAGGTACCGCCATTTATTAATATTTCTAGTTCCTTATAGGCGACTAGCAAATCACTCAAAGGTTACTTACGTTGTTTTTCAAAGCTAAACTAATTGTGTTCTATTGGTTAGAGAATAAATTCTTATTTAATTCAGAATCAGTGAAAATTACAGTTAGACTTGTAGTTCATTTGAGTATTATTCCATAAAAATATGTCACATAGAAAACATAAAGCATTTTCAATTGTAATTAGGTCAATATTAGGTTATTTGGCTATTCGTGTCAAGTGAATATTGATAGAAAAGAACACAAAAGTAAACACATATGAAAAATGGGTAGTTAAGGATGAATATATTATGAAAGGTAGAAGATTGAATCAGTATGATGAAAACAAACTGTGACCAATTGTAATTTTCGAGCATTTCATTAAATAAAATCTAAAATGAAATGTTTTCTGAGTGTTTTTTTGTTTTGTTTTGTTTTACTTCCTATGGACAAGATTTGTTAATGAAATGAATACATTTGACATATTTAAAGATCGTAAATGCTATGGGTCTGTTTGTTAGTATGTACATATGACAATTTCCATAGTAAACTGTTACAAAGTTAAGAGCAAAATTAATGAGTAAAATAATAAATATAATAAAGTCAGAAAAACATTTAAATTGAGCCAGGTTTTTCAAATGTTAATTTTGTGTTCTAATAACTCAGCCTAGAGATTCAAAACAGTTTGTCAGAAGAGTTATAAGTTTATTTAGTTAGATAGGACATTCAAAGCTTAGAACTTACAACTAAAAGTTTCTATTCAGTCCTAAACATTATTATTCACAAAATATTAGTCTTACAAAACATATTATTCCTGTCAGACTGATTAGTTCGAAGATATGAAGTAAAGATGTTAAGTACTAACATGATTGGTACATCATAAACAAATTATATTCAACAACTGTTTATGGCTGTTTTAATCTTCACTGATGAACTAGTACAAGGAATTAGGATTATTTTAGTTTTATAGTAACGGGCTATATGTTTAACTACTTGAAGTAGAGCAGTTTCTAGAAACCACCAAGTATATTTCATGTTACTACTAAAAAATGTACTGTCTTTTTCCTAGAACATTAACTTGGGATCTGTCACGCTCCTAATGAAGTCTCCGTGGAAGTCACAATGTAAGAGATGGAAATCTTTAAGCCTGACATAAACATTAGGAGCGTTGTAGAGAAAAACTAGGTCTACACTTATCAAAACGCTAATAAAAATTAATCGGAAAATATATGACCGTACACTCAGTCAATTATAACTAAATGTCTGGCGATTCACTACAATCAGAAGATCAAACGTTTTCCACTAATCGGTGTCGATGCATAAATAATGACTAGTTCTGAATATAATTACCATAAAAAGAAGCTGAGATTACTTAGCTCCAGGTTTATGTTATTTTGTTGATACCCTAAACAATGATCTAAAACCTACTTTTGTGTAGGACATTTATGATATAATATGTTTTTAAAATTTATGTAAATCTTTGTAACTGCATTTAATTATTTACTAGACCATTCCGATACATGCATACATCAGCTTGCGTTTGTGTATTACATTTCATTTACAATTTTCGTTACTGAAATACCTTGAGTTAAAAACAGATGATGAAAACCTGACGAAATGAAGTAAAATAATAACGGTATTCTGTTTAAAATATTGTTCCCACTACTATAAAACTAATAATCTATGTTTAGTTTTGTCCTAGATCAAGGATCTAACATGCTGAATATGACTTCAGACTATCCAGAGACGGATATTGAAGGTAATCTATACGAAGAAAACTGTTATGATAATTATTATTAACTGATTGCCCACTTTGAAAAATTCCTATCGTTACTAACTAAACAATTAAGAGTCTAAGGAACTCCCAACACAGTATTTAATTAATTTAAAAGAGATTTTGAGTAGTTAAGCTTTCAGATTATGTAGTAACTTATGGTCGATGATTTTACTGCGATTGTGAAAGAACTAGTAAGTATATTTATGACCTGCAGCAATGGTTTAAGATATGGTTTTGCTTGACCTTGAGTATATTTCTTTAGTGTAGATTTCTTGACTTACCACTGGACATTAAAGTTCTTACATTTGATTATTCTGACTCTTTTACATTCACTCATTTTTTCGTTGATTGTTATATATTTTGTGATGTAATAAACTATAGCATTACTGTACCAAATATCATGTTGATTTATTTGATTGCTTAGCCTGATTAACTAATTTAACTTTTGGTGATTTGGTATAGATGAAGTTAGAAAAGGTGACCAGTGAAATAAATCTCTGGAAACTATTTTCACTATATTATGGTGCTCAATTTGGTAATTCAAAAATTTATCTCTGATCGGTCAGACACAATCTCACATTAAAATAAAGACAGTGATATTAAGTAAATTTACTTATTCACAGATCTTGGCAGAGAAATTTGCATAAACTACATTATACATTTAGAATAAATAAATAAACTCAGACGTTTATTGATATTAGTGGTAAACAAAAAGCATCTAACTAAGTCATTTGTTTTATGCAGTTATGCACACTTCAGCTGGATTTTTTGCTTACATAACAATCATTGGAATGAATGATAATAATACGATGGGACCCTATAGACATTCTAGTTTATCTATTCTTTCTATTCAAACCTTAGGTAAAAATTACTAGATAAACCAACTCTGTCATATGAAACCACTAAATATGCTTATGCAGTAAGAAAATTTACACTAATGTAAACTGATAATACTTGTAGGTAATGATCAGGAGTGGCGATTAGCGATAGTAAAAATGGGAAGAAAGTATCAGAAATACAGAAAAGTGGGAAATTACTTGAATGCAACTAAAAGACAGAATTTAAAAGATAACTATTGAAGCTGCTGAATAAGGTAGGACAATTATTAGCTTTCAAAACAGATAGCTGAATGAATTAGTGAGAGACTTTGGAAAAGCGTTTGACCGGATTCCGGTTGACCACAGCCTACCAGTAGTTTGGTTGGTAGGAAATACTGTGAACTTTTTTGGAACAGCGAATGCGAAAACTAACCTTTGAAAAGAGACAGAAACAAGTCCTAACGGGTTCATTTCAAATATTCAAAAATATCGATCCAACAGTATCAGAGAACCTATCGTAATTTTGTTTAACCGCTTTCTATTGTTGATAACCCTGACTTTTACAAAATGGAGGGAAATTTCCTTCTGATAATTATATAGAAGTGTGAGTATTATTAATTCTAACGTTTTAGCTTCCACAATCATAAGTGTAACTCAGAAACAGGAAATTCAAGAAGTTGAGTAGTGAATGAATTAGTTAAGTCTATTTATTTTCAGGTTTCGAAGCATTGGTATGCTTACAATGTCCAAGTTGTACTCCTTGGTCTGAGAGTAACATTAAATGCAGTTGACTGCGAGATCTTACTAATGTTAACCCTAGAAGGACATGTCAAAAAATAGAATTCATTTATCCCAGAATACTGCTAGTTTGGTCACATCTTAGGACTGACGGGCAACTGAGTTGACTACTTCATGTGTAATTTGTCAGGGATCCCTTTATTTCTATTAATTCCGGTGTCCTGTGTATGCTATAAATACAATTAATTCATCACTTAATATTTAACGGATCGATCTTCTGTCCGGAGTATCTCACACTGGATGACAGTATTCGGGTAACATAGTCTTGATTGATGAGGACGCTGACAAAATACAAAGTTTGGACATCTTGAGTAACAATCAAAATTTTTACTTAGAACCTGCAGTGCATCAAGTCATAATCTGGCAATACAAATTGAATAAATTAAATGTGTTTTCTACTCTGAGCATTTTAAGATGGCTGTTTTCCGACTGCTCATATCTTGGGATGTAAACAAACATTCACACAGCTTTCAACAATTTGGACCACCTCCTGCAGAAGATAGATTCCAGTTTGGCTATAAGTGGGTGAGTAGGCTAGGTTAAAATGAGCTAGTGAAAAATAGTCTATGACAGTTAAAGACATGTATAGGTTGCAAGAACTTCGCCATAAGTCTTTGAATTCCAATTATCGAACAATTTAAGAAATGTGGTAGATTTAAAAATAGACTTACGGAGGGTTATAACATCAGATGAGATTTTGACTTAGTAATTCAAGATAAATGATGGTCTAAAAGGTCGTTTAAGTTCCAAAACTTTCTATATTTTATTCCAGTTAATTCTAGTTAGTGTTGATAAAATATCTTAATGAAACGAAATAAATTACCTGACTGAAAATCTAGACCTTTTACAGTAATTTCTAAACGAAAAATAATTAAGGATATTGAGTTTTTCTTTTTTTCTTTTTTAAAACTGTACTCATATTTATACGAATATTCGTCAAGATTAGAACGAATAGTTTGACAGAAAATGGGCGCCGAGTATAGAGAAACCATTATATGTTTATTGTTTACAAAGAAAATTAATCCATCTACATAGACATTTGCAGATAAGAGAACTGAGTAAACCAATTCCGAGATATTACTTTTAAATTGTATCAACATTCATTGTAATAGACCTGGTCGGTATTTTTTCCGAAGAATTTATTTATCTAACTAAAGTTAGCTGGTAATTCGATTAAATTTTGATACTTCTCATGGCTATAAAGATAGGAAATATGATGAGATAAAGCTAATAAAAATAACACCTTATTTTTAGCCAGATGATTTCATGTATCAATAACATTACTGAAAAAAATGATTCAACATAACCATTATATTAAATTCCATTCTGAGTAATGAAAACGGTACTACACAAGCTAAATATATCTTAACTCGTTTATAATAACTGAGACGAATGTGCTTATATATATTCACGCCTTAAAACATTAGGTTGTAAGAAAAGCTTGAATATTATTTAAGATAAAGATTCCTATTTTAGACATTATAAATACTGAAAAATATTATTACATTTATAAAACACAATATAAACATAAATTAAATGCAATTTTTTCAACTTACAATTTTTCGTCGCTTGAAGAAAAATAGAAAATCACAAAATAGATCAGTTAAATTCGTTAGATACTTGATGAACAACGTTTACAATAACAGTATAAACACTGGTCAAATAGGAAACTGAGTACTTATGAAAAACTATAACACATCATCCTTATTATTTGAACGTTTAAAACATTTTTGTTTTGCTAAGGCAATCAGTATTTTGATTTACTTGCAAGATTCTACACCATTCATCTGAAAGTTTGCTCTGTCACCCTACATGAAATTTATATCAGTACCTTTGAACAATATTGCCTCTAGAAAAATTTAATTTTTGTCGAACACTAAGGAGAATCAGATAACGAATAACAAAAGCATTGTATTTTTGGAGAACGTAACCCCAAAGTGTTAACTGTTATTTGAAATCCATATCTCAAAGAAAATGAGTGACCCGTCTCCGTCTCTAATCGTCTATCGAATTAGTTTCAAAAATTACTATTAGAATAAAAAGAAAACCCATAGTTCATGAAATATTAAGTATTAGTAAGAACTATGGTATACTGAAAGTTTTTATCAGATTCTTTGTAAATTCTATACGCTTTTAAGATACTCTGGGTATAACTTAATCAATTTCCTGAATACATTGAAAAGTATCGCTACAAATTATAGTTTTACAATTCCTAACATTAGACAAAAAGAGCATATGTTAATAGAACCCAAATTTAGGATAATTACACTTGACCACTTTCGAAAGAAAATTTATTTCATCATCGAAGAACTTGTTGACGATACTGATGTCCAGTTCGGGCTTATAAAGATAATTTCTCATTTTATCAATAAAAGGAAGAAAGTGATATTACTTATAATTTGGCCTGCATTAAATGAGTCCATCAATCTACATCAGTTTCCTACAAATAGGAAAGAAGTGCTTCAGATGTAGCAGTGCTCATTTCACGCTAAGTGATTTATCTGTTTGATACATGTTTCTAGACTATATTTTTGATCCTTTGTTATCAGAAAAGTTTGCTTGTATCAACATCAATAGCAGAAAAATCAACTGGTCTTGTTTTTATTTTTCTTTAAAGGGTAGTATACGATTAATGAAGGGAAATACTCCATTGTTTTATTAACTAAAGTTGATGTGCTTCAAATAGCTGTTGTTTTCCTTCCCTCTTTCTCTTTTTAATTGTACGATACCCCATCATCTACAAACGACACCTTGATAGGTATGTGTATAAACTGACTATAGTATATATACCAGCCTTTTCCTCTTTCAATTACTTTGAAGTGAATGAATTCTTGAAGTATACTGAATACAAGTCTATTTGGAATGGTCTTGCACTTAATCTTTTCAGATGTCAAACTACTGATTTTAGTCTAAAATATGGTAAGGACCTGAACGTCCTGCCAGAATCGTGCGACTTTTATATTATTACATATTCTGTTATAAAAATTTATGCTAATTATCACCAATCTAGGCTTAAGCTTCACTTGTAATCTCTCTTCTGATTTTCCCACGCTTTGTTAATATTAAAGAACGTTCTTAGTTTAACCTATTATTGGAGGTTGTGTTTTCGTTATAACACAACGACCGTCTTTATGATTTATTAATTCCCGTAGACTGTCCATTATACTTTACTGTTTCTCATTGCCTTTCCTGAACTTTTGAAAAGTGATTACGCTGTGTTAAGTAAAGCACTGAGAACTATTATTAAAGTCAATGGTGGATTGGTTGACGCTATTATGAATGTAGCTGCTGATAGACAAATGAAATCTTGAAAAACAACTGACAAGATTTATTCCATCATATGCAAACCATCCACTGTATTTGTATCATTTCCCCTGTATATCTTCTAGTGTAAAAGTATGAAGGCTATACAATACCGTATTTAGGACATATATTGTACAATTAAAAAATGCAACAGTTAATCTAATGAGAAACATATGCTTTTTAACGTCCATATATATCATTCAGTAAAGTAAAGATTGTTCCTTTGTACAAAATTCCCACTTAGTTCTATTTATTTCTATTTATTCATTTAAGGCGTATCTCTTTATAAATTATATAAAGAATAGGAGGAATTCGTCAGAATATTTCATGCTGAAAAGTCTATATTGTAATAAACACAAAAGATTGAATAAATCAATTAATTATGATAATAATAATATTGTTCTTATCATTGTTGTTATTAAGACATTATTGCTTACTCATGCAACATTTAGGCAAAAGCATACTGCTTTTATAGCCACTGAGTCTACTGGATATAATTCCTTTCAATTTTATTATCAAACGTCAAATAAGCAAACAGTGGAATAATTGTTCTAGTTGACCTTAATTAACTGAAAAACGTTACTTCAAGCACAAAGACAGGTCAAAGTGTTCTTCGAGAGTAGTGCAAGGGATTTGAATGAACCTATTGAGTAAATGCCAGTGACTAATGTTATCATAAATTCTCCCTAGCATGCATATATATATATATATATATATAGGTTGCAGAATTATGTTCCCAAAGTTTACTATCATTTGATCAATGAACCTGTCTTACGATGTCGATTGTGACGAAAGTTACACTTATGCTACGTGAGCAAACTATCTCTATGACAATTTCACTCAAGTGATCAGTCGACAACCTTTTCACCCATTTTTCATCGGCTCAGCTATTCTTTCAAATAAATAAGTAACCATAAGGCCTTAGTTTTTTTTGTAATATCCTGATTAGGTCTACACTGCCTGATGAAAAAGGCAGAGCTTTTACTTACACAAACCAAAAACAAGTAAAACGTCTATTTTTCATCAAATCAATAAAAAAATACTTACTCGTGCCAAACGAATCTCAAGAGCTTGTTTTAAGTCTTCTATACACATCATGGCATCTAATAGGTCGGATTCCAAGCGATTGCGAGCCTTTTAAAACGTATAAAGTACGAAATAAACGATAGCCAATGAAATTTTTAAAATCATCAGTCTTCATTTTTTATAACCAGTAACAATCAACAACATGAGAATGTACAAGGAAAGTATTTGTATTAAACGGAAGCTGTCTTATAACTCAATAGATGAAGCCACTTTTACACAGTAGATTTCTACAAAAAATAATTAATGACCTAGGGACGCAAATTTTCTAATGTGAAATATTTGTATGTACAAAATAGGGGAACGCGCACTATGTCGTTGACCTTATACAGATTGTCTAGCTAATAATTGTGCATGGATATGATTGTCTTATAATTCGGTTGAAAAATGAAGCAAACAATTCATTATTACTATAAGATCCGCAGATAAACAAATCCATTAGATTTGCGTAAACTATTAATATTGTCAACCAACGATATGCACGCAGTTTGTAGACGGTAATGACATGATTTCTTGAACGATACCAAAGTTCCGTAATTCGAAGAACTATTCTAAAAACGCACCAATATACTTTATATCCATAGAGTTGTAAGGTGTCAAAGTCGTACAAATACCAGTGTTGTTTTTGACATGTAAGTGTCGCCTATAGAACACTCTAATTAGAGAGTGTGTAATAACTTTGCTTCATTGTAAACAAACTTTTTATGCTTAGTATTGTTAAACATGAATTCCGGCACAGCTAGGCAGTGATCAAAAGTATTAAACCCATAAATGAAGAATACAGGATAAAAGGATGATAGAGCACTGAAAATATCAAAACCTGAGATTTTCAGCTAACCGCATGACGAAAATGAGTAAAGTCAGTGTTCAGCAGCGTTCCCAAGCAGTTAACTATATAGCTGGTGTTTTGTGATCTACACTGTCATGAAAACGTTTCACTGACTTTAGTACTAATCTCTCCTTATTAATGGTTTATCATTTGAATTAATATTATCTAGCTAAATCTCAAATTGATAAAAACATTGCCTGGTTTTAAAAAGCCCCGCATGTGATCAATATTATGAAGAAAATTCAAATTCTTAAGCATAAAGTGTATGAACTTAATGTAGCTATGTAATTAATTCAAAACATACAGAGAAAAACAGAAATATCTATCAAATTAAACACATCGTTTTCCAAATAAACGCTTAATTAAAGCTGTATCTGTATGTAGCTAGTTTTAAATATACTTATTCCTTAAGGCGCCATCAATTTAGGAATTGTAAAGCTGTTTAGAGTAAGACATTTAAGTTACAGTTACAGGTTAATCTGCTAAACCCCTTACTCCGCACTTTGTTACCCATTTTACTCCTAACTACAGTAAACAGAATTATCAGAATAATAGATTTAATAGATTTCATGGATTACATGTCTAATCAAACAACATATTTACAAGGCAAAGTTCAATACTGGTTCTTTTTAATTAGTATTTTTAATTACAACCCGTACTCTTGTGAAATTTATCCGAGACGAAACCGCTAGATTTGGTGAAGCATTTGATCTTCCTACATTTTTATGAAACGTCTGAAGCTGAATTCGAAACGAATATTATCTCTATTTTAAATGGTTGTTATTAAAATGACTGCTCTTTTAAACTTTTTTTTGGTTTCTTCGCCTTATGTTACTAAAGTAAAGAGCTAGTTTTCACTTCCCAAAAACCACTTATGTTAGGTGTCAAATCACTTCATACTAACCAATCCATCAATATTTTTTGAGATGCTTTGTTTGCTAAAACCTCCTTCATATTTCAAGCACGTGGTTTAATGTCCTTAACCATGCAATCATTCACTACTTTTGTACAATTTTCATAAAACAACCGCATAAAATACTCAGCTTTACCTTCTATTTATCATGAATGCAAACAGTATACTAAAATAATGCAACTGAAATAAAACCTCACATTAAGACATGATTTTGTGTCCAGTTAATGGAGTTGCCCTATTCCAGGAGTTTTCATTATGAAAGCTCTTACTAAGCACACAAAGAAACTAGTATTCCACAGTTATCAATTGCGATTTTATTATAGAAAGAAGTGTTTATTGGTCCAGTGATCTTTTTTCACTTAAAATATATTTGTAGTCTGACGATTTATAAGGTAATTGTTGTAGATGGCTTTTGTAGACTGCGAAACTTTTCATTAAATATTTATACAGTTCAGCTGCGTTTATAACTTACAGCTACCTGACTAATGGTAGTCAACCCAGCACATTTTTTGTCTATTCAAGTTCACTGAGCATCAGAAAATGCCCAGGAAAAGTACTTTAATAATTATGGTAAACACTTTTTTATACCTTACTACTTTGTTTTTGATATACTAAACACACCGTAGCGACACTTGGATTTAAAAGGCTATGAAAAAACATATTTAGAAACATGCGTTTATATATGGTGATATAAGTGCATAATCCCTTGGAATCCGATGGCAGCTTACCATTCATTCAGTGCCTCAGTTTGATTTGGCGATTTATAAATATTCGTCTTTACTACCATTTGGATGTTAACTGCCTGTTTTCGGTTTCTCATATTCCAGACAAAAAATCTTGTAAGTTATCAGCTGAAGTGTGTGACGAAATCTCAGCACGGATACAGAAGGCTCGATTAGCTTTTGCCAACTTGCGTCATTTATGGAGTAGGCGAGATATCCGTCTATTAACCAAAGGACGGGTTTACTGAGCAGCAGTTCGTTCCGTCCTACTTTATGGCAGTGAAACATGGCCGGTAAGAGTAGAGGATATCCGTAGGTTACTAGTATTTGATCAAAGGTGTCTTCGAAACATTGCTCGTATATCATGGGACCATCGAGTAAGTAACACAGTTGTTAGGAAACGGGTACTAGGTAAGGATGGCAAATCAATTGATGAAGTAGTGAAACTTCATCAGTTGAGATGGCTGGGACACGTGTTACGTATGCCCAACGACCGACTGCCTCGACGTGCTATGTTCAGTGGTATAGGAGTAGGTTGGAAGAAAGCTAGGGGCGGCCAAACCAAAACATGGCAAGTAAGCAGCACCACATCAATAAAAACCAAATGCAAAAATATATGTGAAAGGATAGGATTTTTGTGTGGGTCAGTATCAATGTCATCTGAGAATAATCTTACAGTAAAGATGTAGCAAATGAGTACAATACTGAAAGTTTTAAAACCATAAGAAAGCATCAAACATCTTCAAAATTAGTAGGGTTTCGAGACTTATAAACGATCTTCTAAAATGCCCAAGAAAGGCTTAAATAAAGCAAATGATATATACTAACTTATATTGAATATAATTTCATGAAAAAAAACTTAATGTGTTTATATTTCAGACCTACAAAACGCCAAAAACCTTACCATCTCATTATTTTTGGTCATTATGGACAGAAACCTTTCCAATCGTAGCTTTTCGCTCATGAGTAATCTGTAGTTATTCATGATCTCTTGCTTCGACATCTATTATGATTAAAAATATACTGAAATTTTAAATACTACATTTTCGTAGTTTTTGGCTATTAATGACCACCGTTTGTCCATGCTTTCATCGTTTAGAACTTCCTTTACTTTTTCCTCCTAAACAATACATTTTATTTGAATATATCACATACTTCGTTAGAACATTTCACAAGTGGAACGTTGGTATCAAGAGCAGTAGGTTCCTAAAAATGATGCAAAACTGCAAGAACATACCGTTGACTTAGCACGACGTGACTTTTTGACTGTGTAAGCAGCCAAAGCTTCTCCTCCCAATGGTCTTCGAGAAATATCTGGACTCCTGAATCTTTCCTGACTCTGTTTGTACATTTGTTAACTTATTATGACAATTTACTTGTCGTAATGGGGCCAATGGTTCACATGTCAAGTCCATTACATTAGAGGTTTTATAAAATTTGCATGTAGAATTAGGAGATGTGCGCTCAAGATGTAAATGCTGAGTCAAGCATGACCTAACGAAAGAAAATGGAAGTTTCGAACAATCGCCATAAAAATGAAAGTTAGAGCACAACTAAATAACTTCAACAGTTACATTCATTTTCCAATGCATCAATTCAATATCCAGTAATCCATGAAGATCTACTGTAGGAATTTAAAAGACTCAATCTTATCTACTTTCTCGGTTCATCTGATATACCGTAAAAAAATCTGTGTTCAATACTCGAAGGACATGAGTGTCACTAGAAACACCGGTCCATGTTTTGCAACCGTCAGGGATTCAAAAATATTCTTGATATGTAAGCAGCAGACACCAGTTTCTTATTTAGACACAATACCAGTTAAAGCCTTTGAATGTGTTCTTGAACCTTTTGTTTCAGTTGAGACTGTTAATCCGAGCTTTTCCTAAGTACTTTAAGGTTTTTCGTCGGGTTTAAGGCCACATAATGAAATAGAATGTTTAAGTATGGCAACAATGTACCGGCGCAGCTAATGATGGCAATGAATATTCACTGAAATGTTACCACCATCAGCTGGCTATCGAGACGGACATCTTGATTCGCGAATGGTGATATTCGCCGATAAAGATTGGCTAGAACCATTTTTGTTATGATGGGATGAGTTAATTCCGTTTAATTCAATTTGATGACCACTCAGTATAGTATTTTTCTCGTTTTCCCCTTGTGACATTTCATTCTGTAGAACGTACGATATTCTCATATCAAATATCTTTCATATATGTGATTTATTCTGATTATTATTCAAAAATGGATGTACAAAGCAGTACATAAATAAGTGTATTTCCGACCTGACTGGTCGTGGTTGCTTGTTCTTGTGACTGCTTGCGGAATATATTTCCCTGTTTCGAACTTGAACTTTTCACTCTAGTTGGCGGGGCTGAGACTGATCAGAAAAGCTAGCCTATTGGTCTTTGACCACAGAGTCTTTGTTCCATTCCCGGACAAGGTGAACTCGCGATCGCTTCAAACACTGGATTGTTGTAGACTTTTCAGCAGCTAACTGGTTTTTCTAATCACCATGACCTCGGTAACACCCTTTATATATGGTTTTGTAAAATGTGTTCATGTAGTGGATAATCCCAATTTCTACAGGTTTTGTGAAACAGTAACCTTCATCCTCTATTGTTATTGGCGATTCCAATAGAGTTCTTAGTAATTTTTTGTCTTAGACGCGTCTATTGTTAATCATTTAAAGTGCTATAACCGTTTCCTTAATTTATCATCATTTTTGAACATTTCCATCCCAATGTGAGGCTTCCGTACACTGATCTTAATATTACCCAGTCTTCTTCGACTACATCTTCGTTATCTGACTTTAGATTAGATGAACATTTTACATCACATCCGTTTGCAGTATGATATCGGGCCGTTGACAATGAAGTATTGTTTGACTGAACTGAAATTACATCATGGATGGACGATCCTTTGCACCTCTAATAGTATTTGTTGCTCGATTTGATTCTTTCGGAAAGGTTTTACCAACAGTTTGTTGAAAATATTACTCATGGTCCGCAGGAGTTTAACAATCTTACCGAGTAGTTGTAGTTTCTTGTATAGTATGTTATTTTGTGTAGGAGAAACGCAAACTACGTGGTGGTCAAATAACGCTACTGTAGTGTTTAGTGTTCTTCAATCGTATTTGCAATCATTAGGTCGCACTATGGGAATTGATGTTCAGGTGTTATCGTAAGCTACAACACAAAAAATGTTCATGCATCATAAAGTACAGCATAGAGCATCCAAAAGGCGACTAAATGTCTTATCACTAAAAACTGACACCATTGCTTCTCGGTCACCATGTTTATTTGACGTTAAGAAAGACTGTACGATTTCTGAGTTCTAGCATGTTTGATACCCTTTTCATCACGCTATCCATTTTACCGAAAAATGTACCTCCTCGTCATCATTATTTTAAACTTTGGCATCTGTCAGTTTGAGCTCGAGACCCGGGGTGACGTTATCTTTCGGATAACTTGAAGATCGACTGTTATGGAACATCTAATTTAATTGTCAATGTGATTGAGGTCATTGTACTGCGGCTTCAACGATCTCTCAGTTCTGAAACTGGCGGCGAAACACTGAAACTACTTGTAAATATTCATCCGGAGTTCCGAAGAGATTCTCTAGATCTTTTGGTTAAAAATGTACAAAGAATTAGAAGAAGTGCGGTTAATAGTCGCCCAGAAATGCCCTGGTACGGTCGAGAGTGGGGAGAGTCAGCTCTCCCTCTCGAAATGCCCTCACATGGACACGCGTACATAGCCTCTATCAGGAAAGTCGTGCTCATTGCCTTCTCTTACCGGGTGTTGTTTACGAAATTGAGAGACTGACAAGCGAACGTCCGGCGTTTTAACCGGGTTAGTGGATACGGAGAGTCCACTTAGGGGGGGTTGGAAAATCCTGATTCCAAACCAATGGTGCACATGGGCTCCATTATCCTAAAGGAACAAATGGCGTATGAACCAATCGTTGGTCACCGGCTACCATGGGACTGCATCTCCTTACGATGCCCCACTGCCTTGTGGATCAGACCTTCAGGTCGAAGGCTCCGGATGTGGCCCCCTGAGAAAACCACCCATTTCGATTTGGGCACCCGAGTAGTATCACAGCCCTCACACATATCGAATGAGATCTGTGTGGCGTATATGTGTTTGGTGCCGTTTTGTACCAATATCTATGTGTCAAAATAAAAAAATAATAAAAGTAGTCGATGAATCCAGATTTTTCCTAAAAAGACACCATCAACCGTGTTTGATCTGGCATGGTAATGTATTAATCGATTTCTTGCTTCAAATAATAATAGGTTTTAGGCAATAAATAGTTTTCTACGAAAGTTGATTTTTCGAGGCTACATTGGTATGAAATATCATCAATTCAATAAAGTGATTCAAAGCCTGTGAAATAATATGTCGACAGAACTGTACTATGACTTATACAAACCAGACTCTAGGCCTGATCTTGGCTAATGGACCCACGTTCACATGATTTAACGTGCCCACCAATTTTGACTAGCTAGACTTGTCTCGTCGATGATTCTGGTTACAGTTTTAGGGTTTTATCATTCATCATAAGATATACCAATAACTGCCAAAAAGAGATAAATTACTCTTTTGGAAATCCCCATCATTTTGCTAGGCAAATATATGCATGAAGAATACATTTTTTAATAATTTCCTTTAACATTCTGCAATCGTATATTCATATTATCAATCCAAAGTGTCCACGTTAAAGACAAGGTATACTGTTTGAAATTCTGCCATGTAAATCCAGTAGCTCTTCACAAGAAACACCTTTATCCCCCAAATTATTGTGCGGTTGTCTTAGTTAACCTTTTTAACACTTTGAAAAGTTCATATCAAAAACTCTATAAGACTGACACGACCTCATTTCGACTAATTACCAAATATTATAATCCCATAATTTTCTGCTTAATGGCTTTTGATAAGCTATTATTTATATGACATTCAGAGCAGTATATAAATACCTGACATTCAATTCGATCGGCACTCTCAAATCTAACCTGTCCGGAACTCTCCTTTTCGGTTGCTTACGATTGCTGTTCATCCCTTTGATGTCTGTCCCTGATTCGTAGTACTATGTGTTCTTTGGTCTGGCTCTTTTCCTTTAGTCTTGTGGATTCCAAGTTGTGGGATTGAAGTTGTCCTTCAGATATTCTGCTAAAACTAAGTCATAATGGCGGCGACCCCAGAGTCTACATGGAAGCTATTTCAGAATAAGAGCGACGTGGCTTAAAACTTTAACTGTTTCTAAACGTTAAAACAACTCGATTAGTAGAATAATTAAAGAAATTACAGTCATTGAGTGAAACGCGCAAACATAACAACCAGTATTGCGTGTCTTATCAAAATAAATCAAAATTATGAGACACACGAACATAATAAAATAATAATGTCCTTCAGTCGGCAACAGGGATATTCTACAGACACATCAGACTAGATTACCGCGGAGAGAGCTTAAGCAACGATTTAGTCGTTTATTTATGGACATAACCGACACAAGGTACGATTCGCCTCGTCGTTCAGTTTGATGATTTCCTGAGTTCATGTCCTATCCGCCTACATCATCTTTTCCTAATTTCCTCTTCAGCTGGAAATCGGTTTGTCCTTTCCTACAGTAGGCTGTTGCCAATGGTAGCCGGCCAACGGACATTGAGTATCTTCGGTAGACAATTGTTTATAAATACTTGTACATTTTTGATGATTGTCGTGGTAGTTCTCCTAGTTTCAGCTCCATACAGTAGAACTGTCTTGACGGTCGTATTGGAGATTGTGACTTTGATACTTGCTGACAGTTGTTTTGAGTTCCACATGTTCTTTAACTGTAGGAATACTGCTCATTCTTTGCCAATACTTGCCTTTACATTTGCATCGGATTCTTCTTGTCCGTGTTTGATGCTGCCAAGGTACGTGAAAGTTTCCGCCTCTCCCGGAACTTCTTCAGGTGTGATTTTGTTGATGCTCAGGTACTTGCTTTTTTTCCTTGTGAATATCGAAGCCTACTGATGAAGAGGCCGTTGCTTCATTGATTGTTTTCACTTGCATTTATTACTGTATATGGGATAGAAGAGTCAAGTCCACTGAGACGTCCGAATTGTCTAGCCTCATCCAAGTTGTTCAATGTATTCCATGTTTCCGTCAGATATGGAGGTCTTATTTGACACCGGTCTTCACATGAAATTATCTGTCAAATATCTTCCACCAACATTTTGCAGTCTATCCCACCGTAGGTGCTTAGTATGACTACGACGATCTTTTCAACTACTCCATAGTTTCGAAAAAGGTTTCACAAAATTTCCCTATCCACTCTGTTCAGTGCTTCCTTAGTATCAAGGGAGTTGATGCACAATTACGAGTAACATTCAACTGATTACTCAACAGTGATTCAAAGTGTCTCC